AAGGTCACAAATCCTCCTCTATAAATATGATGATATTGGATAGAGGAGGGGATCCATTCTTTCTCTCACTAAAAACTAGTACACTCTTGAGACAGAGTAAGAAATATATTTCGGACTGAGGAGATTTACCCGGTCTAGGTCATACTTTGTGTTCTTGTTGTGTGTTTTATATTACGGGTCGAGTGTCCAGGTCAAACCCGGTCAACCCACCCAGCTATATTTACACCATCACAATTATATTCCAAATCAAAATAAGAATGTAGATTAACATGATTAATTTATTTATTCGTAATTTGTGGAATCAAAATCTTTAAACAGTAGGTTTTTTTTAACTTATGAATTACCGAGTAAACAAAGAATCAAAACTGATGACAAATTTAGGTGGAACTCCACAATTAGATCTGCACTAATTTTATTCACTCGAATTGAATTAAAAAAAACAATTACTTTGAGAGCCACAAGTGAACGAAAATAAAGCCACAAGTGAATTATTGTGGAGGCACCATTATTGATCTAAATCGGAAAACAATTCAAACAGAATTTTCAAAGTTCATAATTTCCGATTGCAGTTCAGGGAAAGTAAAAAGAATTGCTCTGATACCACATGTTGATCAATTCTTAAACATAAAATATAAATTAGAGATTTTATCATGTGTACCTGATAATTCTGTAAACGTAGTTAGAGATGAGGCCATGATTCTCACGCAGATCGAGTTCCCGTTTAAGGTGTATTGTTATGATGGCTAAGGTGAGGATGAGACTCACGAGAATAGAGAGGCAGAGAGGAGGCGTAAGATCGGTGTATTGATCTCTGCCTAATGACCTCTATTTATATACACCCAAGGGGAAACTCTAATTAGGTCATAAGGGTAATTACGTCCATCGAATAATTACCAAATAAATACGTAGGGTATTTATTAGGTCAATGATCAATTAATTAGATAAATGGTAACTCATGCCACATAATAAAATCGTGTCCAACAAACAATTGATATATGCCCTGGCCAACAAACAAGCTATGTGCCCTGGAGGAAAAGGTGGAAGAGAAGGCGGGAGCAAAGAAGCACACCCTGGCCAAATCACCCTTTTCAGCCAGGGTACATGCACAAAAATTGAGGCGTAAGGTCAAGCTGGACGTGGAGAAATTCACTGGAAAGGAGGATCCAAATGTCCACCTTGACACCTTCCACAATGCATCACAGATGGCCGGGTGCACTGATGCTGAGGAGTGCTTGCTCTTCTTCTCATCCTTGAGAGGGAGACCAGTCGAATGGTTTAATGGCCTTCCCCATGGCAGGATTGGGTCCTTTGAGAAACTTGCCGAAGTTTTCCGCAAGAAGTACCAGGATAATTGCATCAAGAGAAAGAAGTTCACTTACCTTAACACGGTAGGGCAGAGGGAGAGGGAGTCCATGTCTCAGTTCTTAACTCGCTGGAGGGACGAGGTTGACAAAGTAGAAGAGATGGACGATAAGACGGCCATGTCTTTGTTGATGAATGCCTTCCGGTCGGGTGACCTCTACACTGAATTCTGTAGGAGGCCACCCTCCTCTTATCAGGAAGCCTACAATACGGCATGGGAGTATGCTGAGGCGGAAGTCCTGAACAACAGCAAGCTGGAGCTGGAGGAAGGCTAGCTATACAAGGGTAAAAGCCGACAAACCAAAGGACGACCAGATGGGAGGGTCCTAGCCGAGAGCCACATATGATGGGTCTGTTCATCATATCAAATAAGGGATGAGAAGAAAGGAGAACAACACAAGCGGCCTTGGACAGAGAAGTGGTGCACCTACCACCAATCCGACTCTCACAACACGACAGATTACCGGAATGTGAGGGTCGTGCTCAGGGAGATGACCTTGAAAGAGGAATTGGGTGAAATATTCGTTACGGGGCTTGAGGAAGACCCATAGGCGAGTACTTGAATCCACCCACATGAATATGATCAGGGAAAGAAGAGAGGGTAGATAAGATGTGGTCAAGATTACTAAGCCTGTTGTAGACGGATCAGTCTTGATGTCTAGGACTTGGACCGTTGCATGGGCTGATAGCAAAAACAAAAAAAACAAAAAAAAAGAAACCCTTGAGATAGGGGCATTGATGTTGAGGTATCGCCTTGAGATAGGCTGGATCCGGAAGAGGATTCGCATCCATACTTACATGGATCCCTACCGACTTTTTGGTCGGGAAGGGTTAGAAAAGATGCCAAAAAATATATTACCGTCTTGTATGAGCCATCCTTTGTGGATCGGAATGTCTAGGGAAGACTAGAATTTCCGAACACATAATATATGGACGTGCAGGATTGGATGAGGGCTGGTTCTCACCGGCATACCCCCATGTGGGAAGATTAGGTTGGCTAGGTCAACCTAATAATTAAAGAATGGCACATTAAAAGACTTAAAACCTGGAAGAGGGGCCCTGGAAGAAGGGTGTTGCCTGGAAGAGGGCTGAACCTTGGAGAGGGTTCGCGA